ATACTGTAGATTTGCAGTACAAAGGTGTAAGTAAGTAAGTATTGGGACATACTGCCTTATCATAAAATTGCATCTATTGTTTGTGGTAATGCTAAAAAAAATTGTATTATAATTCTTTTAATTCACTATTGGTTGCTTTTAGGTTCATGCATTTAAAAAATACATTGCCGTTGGTAAGATTTTGTAATATTTTTGAAAGAAGTCTCTTATGCATACGAAGGCTGCATTTATTTAATAAAAAAAAAAAAAAACATTGAGCACAGTAAATATTATTGCCATTTCATGAAAAAAAAATTATTTTAATATTTTTTAAAATGTAAATTTATTCCTGTGAATTTTCAGCTTCACTACTCCAGACTTCAGTGTCACATGATCCTTAAGAAATCATTCTGATATGATTTGGCGCTCAATTTCTGATTATTACTACTGTTGTGGAAACCATGATGCAAGATTCTTTGATGCACAGAAAGTTAAAAAAGAACAGCATTTATTTGAATTAGAATTTTTTTGTAACAATGTAAGTCGTTACTGTCAATTTGATCTGTTTAATGCACCCTTGTCAAATAGAAGTAGTAATTTCTTTAAAAAAATAAAAATCTTACTGACCCCAAACTTTTGAATGGTAGTGTACTTTGGTAGGTTCAAATATTCCTTTCCAAACACTTACATATTAACCTAAAAAGCAGAGATACAAATGTAAAGCTTTGTAAATCTACTGGAAATATATTATATCATCCAGACAGCTTTAGCATACTATTTTCAATGCACTTTTGGGATTTTTTGGATGGACTAATCCTAATCTTACATGTTATGTAGAACAAATAATATAAATAATGGGATGGCGCTTTACTAGACAAATGAATTGAGATGAATCAGCTGACCTAGTTTGCTTGAGTGGACGGTGTGTGTGTAGGTTTAGACCAGAGTAGAAGCTTCGTTTACAACATTTCTCAGATAATTTGATATTCGTATATGGTGTTTAAAATTCGTTCTGATGAGCTATCAAAGGTTTTCTGTATAACGCATGTCACCAAAGTGGGATCTGTGCATGTCAGGAATGCAGTCGTAGATGTAATTAGGTTAAGTGTAACATGAGCGAAAGCATTTCTCACGCATGTCTGATTGTGCACATACGCTTCTGCAGGAATACAGCTTCACTTTTGATTTGACCATGATTCAGAAGACCGTTCCTCCATCTCCAGAGAGATATAAACTTCTTTTCCCATTCAATTATTCAGTTTTTATTTTATTCTCATAAAATAGGCTTAATTCTGGTCTTGTGACCTTGGTTTACCTCTTGTAGACTCCCCCATAGACACAAACACAGAGTCCCGTCTGAAACAGACAGATGGCTTCTTCTTGTCCTGCTCTCCAGAGACCCCCACCCCGAGCATCTCTCAGTACGGTGCTACCATATCTTTCAAGCCCCTTTTCTAATGTTGGTCTTTTTTTTAGACTTATAGATGCTAATGAATGAGATTTTCTTGTTACATATTCA